TATTGCCACTAGGAGATAAAATTTTCTATTCTAGTACCTTCGCTCATTGCTTGCTTGTTTCTTCCTCCTGTCTTTTCTTTCCCTTTTTTTTTTTTTTTTTTTTTTTTTTTTTAGTAGTTGTGCAAGTCTTTAATCCCAGCACTCAGGAGGCAGAGCACCTTCCCAGGCTACATTCATTCATCATGAGGTCAGCTCTCTGAACTGAGAGAAATAAGTTCCCCTGGAGGACAGCAGGGTCAGAGCACTGTTCTCCAAGGGGTATTGCACACAGCATAACTCCAAGTGTCCAGTTTACCCACCTTTCTCAGACCTCCCATGCTTTTGGAAAAGGCCAGAAGTAAGTTAGATTAGGTTGGGAGTTTTAACACTACAACTGAGGCAAATTGAGTGCTTTCAAATGCTCTGAAGGGTGCTTGCTATTTATAATAAGAAAGTCCTTTTGCTGAGGGAAGATTATGTCAAAGTAGCAGTCTCCTTTAATTTTCCTGTTTCCTAAGGTGGCATTTGCATGCATGGTCCCTCCCTGAAAGGAGGCAGTCTTTACCTCAGCTCTAAATGGCTGCCTTTGTTTTGGGGGCTTGAATGGCTCTATCTCAACATTACTATCCCACAAACAGGACCAGAGGAAGCAGACACAGAGGGAGCCTCAGGCTGGCGTCATGAAAAGCAGAGGCAAGCCAGAGCCAGGCCCTTACCCTAGCACACCCCACAGGTTCTGCCCTGGATCCTGGGCACCACCCCATCCATGATGGGGGTCTCCCACAGGTGTACCCCATTGCTGGGGAGAAATAACCTTGCTCTTCCCTAGAGGTCACTGGAGTGCTGTGGGCCTCCCTGCCCAGTGTCCCACTGAGTAGGCCCCTTTGTCCTCTTGCTCACCTGCCACAACCCTTCTCAGGGTCTGTGACACTGACACTGGTGGACTTGGCCAAAAGAGACAGGCAAGGGCCAGAGCCAGAAGAGAAAGGCAGTCCTGTCTCCTATAGCCAACTGTACCCTGTTTCTAGTGCAGGATGTTTTTCTCCCATCACTGTGAGTGGGTCTAGTAACTTCCAATCTGGCATCACAAAGCCACCTTGCTGCCTACACAGCCCTGCCCTGGCTTTCCACACTACTTCCAGGACCAGCAGAACCAATATCACCAGTAGGCTGGGTAGAAATGCAGATCCAGAATACTGAAAAAGGACCTGATGGCCATGAGATAGTCATGGATTTGCATACTCTTGCCAGGGTCAGAGGTGACCACCAGAGGCTTCCAGGCTCCCTAGGACAAAAAGAAGAAACCGTAGGTGGAAACTGCCCTTCCTCCCATCTTCACTTCCTTCTGGGCATTAGTTCCCAGCTGGGAGGCAAACACATCTAGATACATTTTTGGTTGTCACAACTTGAGAAGGGAGCTGCTCTTGGCACACTGAGGGAGGTGCTGATAAGCACCCTCCATTACACAGAATAGCCCTGTTACAAAGAAGCATCTGGCTCAAATGTCAGGATGGGCTGCTTAAACCCTGCCCTGAAGTTCCTCTAGTGCATGCTAGGTATACCAGGAAATCACGTCTCCATAAAGGGGACTGGACTGACTGACAGGGATGACAGTACCTCAGGCTCCGGGGTCAGTCTTTCCTTGGCTGCCCCCATAGCAAGTGTGGCAGAAGATAAAATCTTTAGTATTTGATGTGGGGATCTAAGATTCAGGTCTGTAAAACATATTATCCAACAAAAATGTCTAAGTTCAGGTCTACACAAAGATCTTCGATATCCTCTACTCTTCTCTCCACTACACTGCAGCCTGGCAGGTGGAGGCCAGTAGCCACACTCACAGGAAAGGGTGGGAACTCTGTGACAGAGGGTGGCTCCTCCCCTGTGAGTGAGCATGCAGGAAAACACTGGCAGGCCCACAGTGAAGGAAGACTACTAATGACTAGAGAGAAGAAGAGCTACTGCTACATCTGAAAGTGTTATGCAGATAGTACTGAGTACATGTAAAGAGTAAACATGGGGGCTGGAGAGATGGCTCAGCAGTTATGAGCACGGGCTGCTCTTGCAGAGGACTCAGGTTCTGTTCCCAACACCCACATAGCAGCTAACAACCATCTACAACTCCAGTTCTAGGGGCTCTGATACCCTCTTCTGGCCCCCACAAGCATGGTGCACTTATATAAATGCAGACACACTACTCATACACATAAACATAAATGAATAAATAATTTTTTTGTCTTTTTGAGACAGGGTCTCCCATTGCCCCAGCTGTCCTGGAACTCACTATGTAGACCAGGCTAGGCTTGAACTCACAGAAATCCACCTGCCTCTGCCTCCAGAGTGCTGGGATTAAAGGCATGCACCACCATGCCCAGCAAATGAATAAATAATTTTTAAAAAGTAAATACACCCAGGGGCTTTGAGATTTCTAGCATATACATTGGAACCCACAAAGCAGTCAGACAGACACTTGTCACCACCCAGGGTTGAAATGGGGAAACATTCTCAGCAACAGAACCACTTGCTGTGGTAGTATTAATTTGAGGTACTAAACTGACAGGAAAGATGAAGGGCTGATTTCACCACTGACATGACTGAATCCTACACAGATGTGATGTACTTGTGTCAGTTTGAGGATTTAATTTTGTGAATCCCAATTAAATAATTTATGATTGGTGCTAGCACCCGTTTGAGAGAAGAGGAAATGTGAAATCCAAATGAATCAGCAAGCCTGGAATTCAGTGCCTAGTCTAACACCAAGTAGATCCTTTCGAGTCATGGATGTTGAGGGATGAGGCTGCCTATAACTGAACAGCCTGGGCAAAGTGAGGCAATGTTCCATCCCAACCCTCTTTCTAGAGTGCAGACTCCTGTAGACCCACCCCAACACCATCCATGAAACACTGTTTGAAATAGAATCAACTCAGACCCCAACAGGTTCATCTCTAAAACTGTGAGAACAGGGAATTCAAAGCTGCCCTCTGGGTGATATGTTCCCTCTGCTAAATTGCTAATTGCTGCATTTTAGAAGACATAGCACAAAGCAAAGACATGCCCTGGGGAGGACTGATTGTTCTCTTTGCAACCCTACCAATCTGCTTCCCTACCTGCACTGTGGGCAGGGTCTCAGATTGCATGGGAGTAGGCCCCACAGCCATCACCTTCCTAGGGATCTCAGACAAACCCACGGAGCTCACATAGCAGTGTGTTGCCCTGAGTTGGGCTGGTATGTTACAATTATTTATCAACCTCGTGGTGTGAGTGTCTGGACCATACCATCCATAGAAACACTCTGGGCTCTCCAGAGCCCACCCCAGAAGAGGTACAGATAGAAGGGAGGTACAGATGGGAGGTTATTGGTTGCTGTTGCCACTACCACAGCTGGTCTAAAGCCAATGTTAACAAGCTTGTCAACTGTCATATGTTTGCAAAGTATCACCAGGTTAGCATGGGAATGGAATGGGCTTAATACCTTTCAATCTTAATTATTTTTGTATATGTGCATACATATTCTTATGTGTGCAAGTGTCTATGTCTGTGTGTATATATGAGCATCTCCGGCCAGAAAGAGGGCAACTAAATTCCCTGGAGCTGGAGTTATAGGAGGTTGTGAGCCACCCAATGTGGGTGTTGGGAACCAAACTCTAGGCTTCTATAGGAGCAGCAAGCACTCTGAAGTGCTGAGCCTTTCCAGCTCTAATTTTATTTTATATTTATTTTTAAACCTTTTTGAAAAAAAGATTTATTTTTCTTTTTTATGTGTATGAGTGCTTTGTCTGCATATTACAGAAGTGTACCTGTGTCATGTAATGCCCATGGAGGCCAGAAGAGGGTGTCAGTCCCCTGGAACTGGAGTTACGGATGGTTGTTAGCTACTATGTGGATGCTGAGAACCGAACCCCAGTCCTCTGCAAGAACAGCTAGTGCTCTTAAGCCCTGACTCATCCGTCTCCTGTCATCATCTTCTATGTGTGTGCAGTGACACACAAGGAGCACTGTGCCCAGCCTCCAGTCCTCTCCCTACTGTCTACAGTCAAATGGTGTGTGTGAATGTGAAGGTACAGAAGTGTGGGGAGCAAAAGGGGAATGTGGAATTGAGGGGCACAGAGAAAGGACACTGAAGAGTTCCACTTCTCTTGTACAGGTTGGAAAGAACAGATGACCAACTAAAGGTCATCTCTCTGCTTTGTCATGAATCTGTCTGAGGAAGCTGTGGCATCAGGTCCTGTGCACCCTGCCCTGTGTGCCCTCAGACTTACCTGGTAAAGCGTGGGATCTCATCGTTGATGTTCACAATGGTCACCTGGAGTGTTGAGGAGGCTTCAAGACCCCCACTGTCCCTCACTCCCACAACAAGGTAGAAACTGTCAGGGAAACATTCCAAATGAGAGAATCAAGCTTTGCTGACACTGCTACAAAGAAGGGTTGGAAAGAACAGATGGAAGGAGAGAGGCAAGAGCAGGTCCTCTTTCTGGCCGCCCTTGCCTAATGCTCCTTCAATGGTCAAATGTGGTCACCTTCCCTCCCTGGCCCCAACACCACTCCCCCATTTCTCACTGTGGAGTTGTTCCTTATAGTTACCACCTCTCAGGACAGGTGTCCACTCAAGCCAGCCAAGTCATATTCTCTTCCCTTAGGTCCCTCACAATGTCCCTGCAAAGGGCCTGTCCCATTATCAAGGAAATTAGCTCCCATTTTATTTTTTTATTTATTTATTCATTCATTCATTTGAGGTGCTGGTGCTGGAACCTAGGGCCTCCTATATGCTAGGCAAGCACTCTACCACTAAGCTACACCCCATCCTCAACAACTACCCTAGTTCTCACAAGGCCTATGGTATCATCCCAAAGCCTGGCCTCTCTTCAGAGACCTGCTTGTCACACTGGCTGCCCTTGAGCTCTACAGGTGCTGCCCTCCCAGCTCTTGCCCCCTTTGCCCCCCACTTTCCACTTCTGAGCATGTCTCCTGACTTGGTGTTCTCTCCCACACTGTGACTCTACTGCTTCACCCCTGTCCTGCCAGGGTTCTCTGCCCACTGAAGTTGAACTCTAGAAATGACCCAGGCTGCTCAGGGCCCCAGTGTCCTCTGGTTACAGGGCTGTTCCCTTGTTTTCCTTGACCCCTGGATGATCATACTTCTGGGAAAATCATTAGCAAGGTTACCTTTTGTTTCCTGCTTCAAAGTCCAACTCTGTTGTGGAGAAGAGAGTGCCGTTAGCAGACATTCTAAAGTTCTTCGAGGGAGAAATGAAGAAATACTACAAAACAAGGGGAAATGTGAATTAAGTCAGGACGCTTATGTCTCTCCCCAGGTGTGTTTGCTCAGGTCTGGTCTGGCACTCTTGGTCTGCGCATTATTTTTAATGAGTCAAGGAGATGTCTAGATAATCAGTTCTGAGATTTCATGGCTGCTAAGCAAAAAGGTCTCTTAGATGTGCCATTCTACAGCTCTAGATCTAATGACCACACCCTGAGGTGCTGCTCCAACTACTGAAAATGTGCCAAAGGGCCCCTGCCTGGACAGGTTTTGCTGTGGGCACCAGTCTCCCTCTCCTCACCCCTGTCATATTACTTCTGTTTCCACATAGCCTCTGCCTCTAATGCTATATCTTGACTTTAATCAACACTGCTTAAACACAGCCACTAGGAATTATGATCATGCCAACGTGGATGAGATCTTATCATTATTCTCAAAAGATAATTAGAGAGTTACAAGTATGTACGGAAACATCATCCATTGAAACGATAGAGGGAAAAGGAAGAGGGAAGTGCAAGTTGAGGCTGGAAGGCAGCAGAACTTGGGGTTGGGGATATGCTGTCCTTAGCCTTTTTCCCAGGTACGTGGTGGCAAGGGTCTTTGTTGTGCGTGGTCCCAATGATTAGCCTTGACAACTGTCTGCTATGCCCGTGAAATGTGACTGAAACATGTAGACTCATGTAGATCCGTGTGTACAGTCCACGAAGGGTCACCCCACAGGAGGATCATGACTGTGCTCCCCAACAGGTGCTCAAGGAGATGGCTTCCTTGCCTGGGGTGCAGAATCAAGGAAGCAGGGAAAGAGCCTGCATTAGAAGAGCTAGGCCCGTGTTCTGATCCTCATCACAAGATCTGGGACTAGTTCTTCCCTTGTCAGTCACTTATGGACTATTCCACCAATTGCTCCTCTCCCCTTTGTCACTGGAAGTTTAAATGAGAATGCATTCTGTTAGAAATGAAGGGCAAAGAGAACATTGGAGACTTATGTGTTTATATTCGTTTGTTCCAAAGGGCTCTGAGGTTAAAAGGTTTCATTATTTCTTGCTGGGATGAGGGATGATCTATCCTTGGGGACTTAGATCTCTGATCCAGATAATCAGTAGAAGGTTTGAAACCAGAACTACAGCCCCTGAAGTCTAGAATCAAAGACACAGCCAAGGTCTCCAACCCAGCAATGTGCTCTATGATTGCTTCAGAGTTCCCAGGATCAGAAGAGAGTGCATAGAAAATAGATTAAAGTCCCCTCTGGGGCCAATATAGAGTCTTTAAACCATGTTTGAAAAGTATTTAGTTTCTGTTTATTTAATAACCTCTTTCTAGTTGTAATGAACATACTTTTACACAGGAATTGGGAAAGACAGAAAAATATTAAAAAGCTACTAAAAGTCACCTGTGAAATCTCATCACTTTGATGGATTACCTCCTGTTCCTCATTATACAAGCACACACCTTCCAAAATCTTGAGATGATGTGCTAATCAAATAATATCATGTCCTTTTGTTTCTATCTCAAGCATTTCCTCATAGTCTTGTGTCTCCCATCCAAGCCCAACCCTGCTTAGCCTCTGAGATTAGATGAGATCAAATGTGTTCAGGATGGAATAGCCATAGACTCATCTTTTTAAATTTTACTGTGCAGCTTAAGCATAGCACAGCATTTTAAACATGTGGCTTATTTAACTACAGCCTTTCAGTGGTCATTTAGATGTTTCCTGCCCATTTTTAAGAGGAAATATTGGAGCTGGAGAGATGACTCAGTGGTTAAGAGCACTGACTGCTTTTGCAGAGGACCTGGGTTCAATTCCCAGCACCCACATGGTGGCTAAGAACCATCCTTAACTCCAGTTCCAGGGGAATCCAACTGCCCTCTTCTGACCTCCGCAGTATTGCACAATACAGGGGCTATACACACATACATGCAAATAGTACACTCATACACATAAAACAAAAATAATACATCTTTTTAAAAAGAGGAACTATTTGGGCAATGCCAGGGAACACCCTTCTCTCACCTTCCTTCAGCAATCCCCTCTCCCCAAAACTGTAGAAGGATTTTCACAAGCCCCCAGCATCTCTCCAGTTCCCTGCTTGGGTAGCAATTGGTTGGGCCAGAAGCTACCCACATGCAGAGCAATCCTGTGTCTTTGAACTGAGCCTTCCCTGCAGGAAATCCTTACAGATCCATAAATCAGAGGCCCATGCTGGGTGCGATGGAAGAACAGTGTTTTAGAGACCCACGGGGATGTTTACTACATGCACCTAAATCAAGATGTCTTTCTACATGTGTTTTGAAAAACTCTAGGACTCAAATCTCCTATTTGGTTCCAAGCAATGGAACTCTTGGGATACAGAGATGGCAAACAGGCTCCGACCTCCAAAAGCTTATGGTCAAATGAGGGAGCAGACAGGGATATGACAAAAGGGCTCCAAGAGGGGCCCATATGAGCTATGACAGGAACCAAGACCCATTTGAAATAGAAAAGTCACAAACTGGGATAGTAATTAAGTTTGTGATTCTGAAGCAAGACTTCCAGGATTTGATTCCTGGTCCCACCACCCCCCCTGTAAGTTTGTGTAGGGTGATAACAGAGTCTACTCCATGGGGGAATCCTGTACTCTGCTAAAACAGTGCTTGGAACATGCTGAACCCACAGCAGATGGTAGTTCCTACTGTTCAGCTAGAATGGAAGATCTGCCACCGAGGGTGTAGCTCAGGGCTCTTCCTAGCATGTTCAAGGCCCTGGATTTGATCCCTAGCCCCAACACCTAAAAATTAATAATGAAGATCCTAAAGGAAACGACTTCCTCTTTGTTTACTGTGATGTTCCCAGTATATAACTGGAGCTGGCCCACAATAGAATGTTCAATAAAGTTTTGTTAAATGTTCAATGTTGGGATTTTCTTCTTGTTCATTTTTCATTGATGAGAGATCCACATTCCCACCTTTGAAAATCTTAAAACAAGCAGGATATGGTGGCCTATGCTCATAACTCTAGCACTCAAGAGGCAGAGCCAGAAGGATTGCCACAAATGCCAGGCCAATCTGGATTATAAAGTGAGACCTTGCTAAAAAAAAAAATACAGCAGCAATGATAACATCAAAAATCAAAAAGCCTCATGCTGAACATTCCTTAAACAAATCTGTTTAAATGTGATAATGCTAGATTTGGCTACGAAATCTCCAGTTCGGCCTACGGTCTCAACAATTTCTGTGAAAAAGAAAGGAAAGAAAAAAAATCTAAGAAACAGCAACAGATAGAATTGCCATGGGAAACCAAGGAATGGGGGGAGGTGTTAATTTCTATTAAGCTGATTTCCTGGAATCTTGATATATATTTTTATTAGCACTACGCTAATTCCCCTTTTCCCTCAATCTTCATGCTTTGTTCATGGGGACACAGTTTTGTACTCAGAGAGGAGATAATATCCGTAGACTAAAAATATTGAATCATGTGGCCTCTTGCCAGCAACTCAGTAAGGCTTTCTGTAAAACCTGGCATTCTCTCCTCCTTCTGAAAGGCTTGTTTAATCAAAGCTCTCCCTTGATATTCATTCTTGAAAACAGAAATTAAATACAATGAAAAGAAACTGTAGCCCCTCTCTGCCCCGGTCCTGATTGAGAAAAAGTCCTGAGTAATCAGATCAACTCCGTTAACAAATGCTTGTCAGACAAGTTCCCTGCTTTCCATCGGGAATATCCCTTCCCATCTCCCACAGTTCTGTTCACATGCCCCTGGTGGCTCCTGGTTGCCCTTGAACACAAAAGCTTCCATTTGGAAGCCCATTTTTCCTGTCCCGTCCACTCTTCAGAGTGCCTTTGGTATAGCCAAAGGGAAGGTGAGGTGGCCCAGTTTCTGGAAATGTTCCTTCCCTGGAGGCCAGCTATCTCCCTGCAGTTCCCCACTGCAGCGTGGCAGCATCTGGTAATAGAACCTGGGTGGCTTTCTCAGCCACCCCTGGCTTTCAGATGTGCAGTACAAAAAACAATTCAACCTATCCCCTGGAGAACAGGGGATCCACACCACCCTGGACTGGTTGCCAGGAGAAGGAAGAGCCTTTATTCCTCCCAAATCCATGGAGTGCCAGTAAGTCTTCAAGTCACTGGGTTCAAGACCTGAGCCCTATTCAGAGGACCAGAAACACGGGAGTTAGAGAGATGGCTTAACCGTTAAGAGCACTGACTACTCTTGCAGAGCACCCACATGGCAGCTAGTAACCATCCATAACTCCAATTCCAGGGAATCCAACGCCCTCTTCTGATCTCCATGGGCATTGCACAACATGGTTGCACCAACCTACATGCAGGCAATACACACATACACATAAAATAAAATTTTAAAAATGAGTATTTTGTAAAAATACCAATTTTTGTTCTCTTTTCTCCTATTCTACTCCCATCCCACTTCAGAGGTGGCAGGTAGGGAGAGGAGGAAGAAGGAAGACTTGACTGAAAAAAAACATCTACCATTAAAAAGCTACCCACTGCAGTCTTCCCTGAGACCTGCCTGTGTGGATGAGCCAAATGGGTACAGGCAGTCACTCAAATGTTTTAAAGAGATGTTGACAAATGCAAGCTAACTTTACTTAAGCATGTTTTGGGGTTTTTGTTGTTGCTGCTTGTTTGGGGGTGTTTTTGTTTATTTGGTGCTTTGACAGCATCTCATGTATTCCAAGCTGGCTTTGAACTCGCTATGTAGTGAGTGCCTGGTTTTATGCAGTGCTAAGAATAGAATTCAGGACTTTGTGCATGGTAGGCAAGTACTCTACCAACTGAGCTGCATCCTCAGTGTCCTAAATAGCTTTTAATAATGTATTCCTTGCTGATAAAGCTCCAGCTCTGATCCCTGCCCCTTTTGTCATTCCTATGCCATAAGGAAACTGGGTCCTCTGCTGCATGATTCAGGCTCTATCAATCTTAGGGACAACAATTCCTATCTACTGAGGGTCTTTCCAGAAGTATTGTGGTAGGAATTCCTTGGCGGCCAAGAAAAGGGAGAACAAA